GGGGGCGGGGTGGGGCGGGGCGGGGCGGGCGCGGGGGCGGGGCGGGGCGGGCGCGCGGGCAGCGCGGGGCGCGGAGCGGCCGCGCAGGGGCGGCGCAGCATGAGCGGGCGCCCCCCCGCGGCCGCCGGCGCAGCGCCCCCGCGCCATGGAGGGATTCCCCGCCCGCGGGTACGGCACCGGCGGCGCGGACAACCGGCCGCTCTTCGGGGAGACCTCGGCCAGGGTAAGGGACAGCGCTCCGCCACGCCAGCGGCCACCCCCGGCACCCCCTGCCCCGAAACAACTCCCCGCCAAAGCAAACCGCAGCGGAGGAAACGCAGCAGAAAGTCCCGTAGTGCCCCCCCTCCACACCCTCCCGGTGTAAAAGCCCCCCGGTAATGAGGAACCTCCTCCCCGGCCGCCCCGGATAGCGGCTGCTCCCCACCCCCTGTCCCCGGGCTCGGCACGGAGCGCCGCAGGCAGCCGGCCGGCCCGCCCGAGCGAGGAACCTGCCCGAATCCTGCGAGCAAATTTAAAAATCCTCATGAAATAAGAAAGAATCCTCAGTTCCCCTTCAAAACAGCATCAAAAATCAGAAAGGCTGCACCCCAGTGGAAAAATATAAACGGAGCCCCCCAAATTCCAAAAGAAGGAAAAGCTTCAAATTGGCGTAATTGTAAAAAAAACCCCAAAAAACTGAAATAAAACAAAAACAACCATCTCCCGATTAGTGCCCAAACCAAAAATAATCCATCAAACCCACCCCAGATGAACACGGCCCCAAATCTAAAAAAATTCAAACCATATATCCGGAACTAATCCTCCCCAGCAAGACCCCCTCCCCAAATTAAAAACTCACAAAACATTCCCTCCCCAGGAAATCAACTTTCAAATAATCCTCCCCAAACCAACGCCCCCCAAAACTCTACCGGGAACTTGGGGCTCGGGGTCCCAGGGTCGGGGGGACCCTCGGAGTGGGGCTGGGCAGGGGTTTGGGCACGGGCAGGGGGTCCCACAGCCGCTGTGCCCTGCAGCACCCCAGGCTGCCTCTCACCCAGTTTGGGGGGGGTCTTTGCTGGGCATGGGGATGGGGGGGTGCGTTTGGTGACTTCCTGGGAACTGATTTTTCTCCCGGGCTGGAGGAGCTGGCAGTGGCTGTCCTTGGCGGACGTGAGGCAGCAGCGGCTCCGCAGGTGTCAATCCCCGTAAGCCGCTCGGCTCTCGGCGCTGCTGCGGGGGCTGTGCTGGGGAGGGCGCTCCTGGGGCTGCCCGGCATCGGGATCCCTCGGGAACCACGATACCTGGAGGTGTCACAGCGTCCGTCCGACACTTGGGGTTGTCCCCTGTCAGGAGGGGTTACTCACACTCGTGTGTGTTTGGGGGCCGCAGGCTGAAATTGCCTGAGATTATTCACAAGTGTATCAAATGCATCACCGCCCTCCCTGCAAGAACTCGGAACAGCGTGCTGCTACAATTATAATGTTTAATGAAAACAAAGTGATACCAACCGGATTTTCGGGGAAACATAGAGTGATGTGGCATAGGAGGACAGGCAGGACCCCAAGAAGATGAACTGAGGGGGGGACAGGTATCCCCCACTAGCAGCTGCTGACCCTGATGGGGAGTGCTGGAGAAAAGGGTACCTTTGTTGGAGCAGTGCCCTGCTGGGTCCTGTTGGACAGTCCTTGGTCAGGGATTTTGGGAAGTTCCCAGCGATGGGCACTTCTGGGGACTGGGGTGTGCCAGGAGCAGCAAACCTGTCCTGGCAGGTAACTCCCAAACTTTTCAGCCCAGGTTAAGCCTTCGATCCCTGATCCCTGTCTTTTTCCAGCTATGCCTCTGCTCGCAAAGGAGAGCGGTAAATAATAAACGTGGGATGCCAATTTCAGTTCCTGGGCTCTAACGGGGACCCAGCGTCCTGCACGTCACCCCTGCCTGTCTCCTGTGGCTTTTTTGGAAGCTGTCAGACGGGCCGAGCAGCAGCCCATGGTCTCTCGCTGCCGTACCCGTGTCCGACAGACGAGGGACCGCTGTGCTGGCCAGGGGTCGTTTCCTCCCCGATCCGCTGGGGTTGCTTAGGAACAGACGCCAGGGAGGTCCCGAGCTGGAACGTTCTGTGTCAGAAATGGAGAAGCTAAACTTTGCCTTTAAATGGGAGCAGGTCTGCCGGGAGAAGTGCGTCTGCCCCCGCCCCAGCTCTGCTTTTGGGTCTCCGCAGGTGATGGCTAATACAGGCAAACCGGGATCCTCTGCTCGGGCTGGGGCCCCAGGGAGGGGCAGGGGCAGTGCTTGTGCCCCAGGAAGCCCTGCACCATGAATGAGGAGTCTCCCACCCTTGCCAGCAGTTGGAAATGGATGTAGAGATAGGGATTCCCTCTTTCTCGCCTTCTTGCACTCTCCTGGTCTCCAAGCTGGTGACTTTGAGGGTAAAGCCCCTCTGTGGGGATGGCAGAGCTGGGCAGCAGTGCCCGCCTCCTTGCCCTGCCGTGGTCCAGCTGCTCCTGCCAAGCTCGCTGTCCCCTGCGACTGCTGAGCAGGGATGGGGCACAACGGTACCAAAGAAGTGGCTGGTGGGAAGAGGGAGTGCAGGAACACAGCACTGATGAGTGCCAGCGCTGTGGATTCAGCTGTGGTTTCCAGGGATGCAGCACTGGCAGTGAAGGGCTGAGACAATGCAAAGGCACAGCTGCACGGTGGCAAAGAGGGGACAGAGTGCCACAGGTGCAGCATTTCTCAAGAAAGAAGTTGAAAGCCGGGTTCCTCCATAGTGGGAGCATTTGGGTGGGTGGAAGTTACTGTTATGGGTTGGAAGCAGAAAGCAATAGAGAGACTGAGGAGCTCGGGATGGGAATGATGAGCTTTTGAGGACACACCAGGAAGTCCCCGTGTCATGGCCAGCATGGCCCTGAGCACAGCCTGTATTGCCTGCAATGGCACAAGGCTGGGTCTGGCACTGCATTCAGGTATCCCCTACGGCTGCAGCGGGCTGCAATGGCTGCTGACCATCTGGACTTGCTGATGTAAGGCATAAAAATGGCCTTTCTGTCACTCCTGCAGAGATGGCACCAGGTACCCACGCTCCAGGGAACCTGCCCATTCCCTTATCCTGGCCAAGCCTCTGCCAGGATCCCCGTGGGCTCAGCCCACATGCTGCTAACTTGGAGGATTTAAGGATGGAAGGTGCTGAGCTGGAATGGGGCGAAGAGGAAAGCTGCCACTCTGTCAAAGCCTGTGAAGGGAGTGTAGACATAGTCTCAGTCTGGCCTCAGTTTCCCTGCTGCTCCAAGTAACCTTGACCCAGATCCTAAAGAATCCTGGACTGTGCCCTCCTGCTTTGCAAGGATTTGGCACGTCCTGACCTTATGTGCCTTTCCCAGAGGCAGATGGAGGGAGACCCCTGCACTGCAGAAGCTCCCTGGGAGAAGTCCAAAGCCTCCATCCTGCAACACCCTCCCCAGGGTAGGAGGAGAGGGCAGAAACCCTTGTGTTTCAAAATGCATCTTGTGCAACAGTGAAACATGGAATTCATCTCCTGTCTGGCCAACAGCTCGCTATGTTTCAGCTGGCTGGCTGAATGGGGACCCCATGGAGGCATGCTGGGCTGTATCAGGAGGTGGTGTGTGTGTGTGCCAGTACCCTGTGCTGGTCCAGGTGACCTCAAGCAGCTGCAGGCTCTCTGTTTTGGTATGCCTGCTGGGTTTTTTTGTCTTTTTACTCTAACAGCTATTACAGCACATAGTGATGCTGGAGAAAAATCCTTCCTGAATCAGCTGTGCTGGTCATGAGAGCCGGCTGTGCCAGCTGGGTGACATGCAGGACACAAGGCTCACCACAGCAGTTTCTGTGTGCCCAGTATCCAGGAGTGTCTGCCCAGGCTGGGCTGTGCACTCGGACACTGTGTGAAGGTGAAAGGCTCTGTCATCCCCAATCCCTTTAGCCGTCTTGGCCTCTGCTGGAGTATTTTTAACCTTTTTGCTGTGCTAAGCTGCCTGGGGCTGAAGTGTCAGCGGGCACTGAGGAATACAGCCTCTCACTGCTTTGCCAAGCCCAAGATTTCAGGATCAGTGTCTCTAATCCCTGGATCCTGAAATACCTTCTTCTGCCGGCAGCACATTTGGAAAATTTGAGTGACCGCAGGTGTAGGCACGGGAAGGGGATGCCTTGGCCACAGGGACTGGGTGCTCCACTGCTGGCATCTGTACCTGATCCGGCTGTCCCTGGGAAGTCCAGCAGTCAGCAGTGTGAGATGAGAGGTCCCTGTGCTGGGGGATGCTCTCTCCCACACTGAAACAGTCAGGAGAGAAAAGCTCCATGCTCACTGTCAAGTCTGATCCCTTGTTCTCTCCTGCCAGTCCAGTCTGTCCTCGTCTAGTGGGTCTCTGGTTAATCAGGAGCACAGTCATGGCTGAGTTTCTGGATGGTGATTGAGTGTGTGTCCATCCCTCCAAGCTCTGCAGAGCTGGTTGTGCTCACCAGGTGAGCTCTGCAGGTTGGTGACCCACTGTTGTTGTGCAGCTGGCTCCCTGGCATCCCCTGATGTTTCTGCTGCCATATCACCAGCTCTGTGTGCAGAAATGCTGGTGAGGAGAAGGGGTTTGTGCCTGGCTGGTGAGGACCTTGCACAGGGGATGTTGGAGACAATTTCCTATGGAGAGGGAGTCACTTCCCACTGCTGCAGCCACTGCTGTTCCCCCACAGACTGGGGCCTCGGAGCTACAGGAGCATCAGTGGTTTGGTTTTATTAAGAGGAGTTTGGGACTAATAGAAGAGGTTTCAAAGAGTCTGCTTGCTGTGGCCCTATCCCTTGGGGAACACAACAAGGGCACAGCATCCACTTGTTCCTGAACCACCTTAACATGAGCTCCACAAAGCCAGGGCTGGTGGTGTCCCACAAAACCATGACTTGCTGCTCTCTCCTCTTTGCTTTCTTCTAGTGCCCTGCTGATGTCATGTGTTACTTCTTCATGGCCTAGGACTTCTCCTTCTACAAATCCAAATTCTAGGAGGGAAGAAGGGTGCAAGAGCAGGTGGAGGGAAGCCTGTGTTGCCCTGCCTGCTGGCTGAGATGTCTTGGGCAAAATGCTTTCACTGCTCAAACTTTTTTCTCACTTTCCTTTCATCATGACTACTTAATGACTCTCAGTATACTTAATCGATGTCTGGGGTGTTTTCTCTCTGCACATTTTTTCTGCTGTAGCTGTTCTTTTAGCTGTTGTCAGCTATCTGGGATGTCACACCTGGCTGTGTGCAGCCCAGTCTGACCGTGGCGATACATATCTATACTTGGAGCAACACCAGGGAGGAGGCAGTGTGCTGGCAGGGATTGGAATATTCTCATTTTCCTTTGTTTTTTTTACTCCAGAAAGTTCATCAGGCATGGGTGCTCCTCTGAGCCCGTGGTCACAGAGCCCAGTGTCACAGCCAGTCCCTGCCCTGATGCCACTGGGATGTGACTGTGATGGCTGTCACTGAGGGATCTTTCTTCCCAGGTCCAAAAATCTGTGTCCTCCCAGTTGTTCTATACTGATCAGGAGCAGCAGAAAGAAGTGTGGGGGGAATATCTGTCTGTCCAAGCAGAGCCACTGTGTAGCATCTTCAGATCTGCTGGTGTTAGGTGGAGCATTTGAGGTGTGGGCAATGCTTCACCTCCTTGCCAACAGCCCACAGATTCCCACCTAAGACTCTATCATTAATTCTCAGGCTGTGAGGCTAAAAAAAGCTTTTTCTGACAACCTCCATCTGTGCACTCCCACTTTAAAAAAAAAAGATTTAAATATAATTTGCACAACTGTAATAATTTGGATATAGTGGAGAAGCCATTTGCAAATGAGCAAACCTGCTGCACGAAGCCTTGACCAGCACAGCCTCCCTGGGGAAGAAACCTTCCTGTGTGGCAGAGCTGACCATGGAGCCCTGATGGTGTCCTGGGGATAACATGGATCCTGGCTGATGCTCTCAGTGTTGTTGGTTAATGCTCTGATGTATATGGTTTGGGGTTTTTTTTTTGTTGTTGGTTTTTTAGGTACACATAACACTTCTCTCTTCTTCAGGACAGAATCATCAATCTAGTTGTTGGTGGCTTAACAACCTTGCTGCTTGTAGTAAGTATCTCCCATCCCACTCATCCATGTTGTACCTTGAACTGACAGGGAGAAAAACAGAATTCCTCTCCAAAAATGGGTGGTGAAACTTCCAATGACCAAAGAGGCTCTGATTTAGGGGAAGCAGTTGTTTTGGAACATATCTGTATTTTGAAACTCTGACAACAGAAGGGGAATACCTTTCTTTAAGAGCTGCAATAAAATCCTTGAAGTTCCCTGGTAGATTGTCCCTCCTGGCTGAACATGAGGCTGGGTGAGACAACAAAGCATTTATGTGCCAGGAGAGTGTGTTTGCTTCCATTTCCTTCTATTTATGATTTATTGTCCTCTATTTATGGCTTATATGTCTTTCCAAAGTTTGTCCCTTTGTGTTGAGCTGTGCTTTCCCCAAGCTAAAGACAAACCCAGTGCCGTCAGTGGTGTGGTCCACAGGGCGATTGTTGGAGGGCTGAGGTGCAGGGAGGCTGTGGGGACAGGGGAGGTGCCAGCTGGTGGAACACTTGGCTGAAGGGATGCTCCTGCATGGGCAGTGTGCACCCCTGGGCCTGATGGCTTCACAGCTACTTGGAGGGTGGTTTCTGGCAATAAGCCAGCATTGCAAAGCTTTCATCTTTTTTTTCCACTCTTCTCAGTGTGCAGCTGTATCAAAGCAGTTTTCCTCCAGACTTGCACATTTTCCTTCAGCTCCTCAGGGGTGGGAGTCAGAGACCAGGGAGCGGTGTGCAGATCAGGATGCGAGTGCTGTGCTGCTCCAGCCCTTGGGCTGAGCCTCTTCTCACTGCAGCTCTGGCCAGTGAAATCTTTATCTTTGTTTTCCCCCATACAGGTCACTCTAATCAGTGCTTTTGTCTTCCCGCAACTACCTCCAAAACCTGTGAATGTATTTTTTGCTTTCTGCATCTCCTTGTGTTGCATTTCTGCTGGCATTCTTGTAAGTACCGCCACGTTTGCCGTGCTTTTGAATCAATGGCTCTGAATAAAATCTACTTTACGTGGTGCTGCCTTCTCTTTTACACTCTCCTAGAAAAGCTTTCCTGCCTCCGTAACACAAGCTGACAATGAGGGAGTGGTAATGAGTTTTGTATTTACTGCAGAGTAAGTGTGTGAACTGAGCCAACTCCTGCAGCCCAGCTGTGGTGTAAGACTTGTCACCTCTGTGGCACTGCCACCTGTAGCTGCCAGGGGAGAAACAGAGCAGGAAACCAGGGATCAGAGCACTGAAATGGGAGTGAAGAGATGGACTGTGCTGCAGAAGACATTTGAAGTGGGATCAGCAATGCACTTGCATTAGTCAGTGACATTTCAAACACAGGGGATGAGTTACAGGGGTAGGAAGCTACAGGAAGTGGAAGATGTTTCTCTACTCAACAACTGAAGAATTCCAAGGAAGTTGCTCCCAAGCACTGGCAAAGGCAACTGGCAGGTCTGAGTTCACAGAATCACAGAATGGTTTGGGTTGGAAGGGGCTGTCAAAGAACATCTAGTCCACTGCCCCTTACATGGGCAGGCACATTGGTGGCTCCTTCTGCTGTAGCTTTTCACACTTGGAGTATTCTCCTTCTTGCAGCTCTGACCTGGAGCAGCCCTGAACCCCTCACTGCTGGGAACACTGGCAAGTTGCTCTTCAGTGTCTGCTCAGTCCCAGTTTTTGATCCTACAGCTGGTGGCCAGGACTCTGCCCAGAATAGACTGTGTTAGTGCAAAGCTGGTATTTGTCCTCATCCACCAGGGTGTAGCCAGCTTTGAGTGTTAAAACACCCCCAGCTAAGCCACCCACTCTCCCTCTCTTGTCAGCAAAGCTGACCAGACAGCGCATGTCCTCAGGGCCAGTTTCACATACAGACACACTCAAGTCTCTCTGGCCAGAGGAAGCTGGATTGTTTTACAAACAAATTAAAGTTTGTTTTACAAACTCCCCAAACTAAATCTACAAGTTGCCAATTCAGTTACCAAAGAAAGTTTCCTCAGAATACTTGGCTTTTTGAAATAACACAAACTCCTTTTCTCTTCTAGATCTACTGGTATCGACAAGGAGACCTGGAACCCAAATTTCGAAATCTAATTTACTACATATTGTTTTCTATTGTCATGTTATGTATATGTGCCAACCTGTACTTCCATGAAGTGGGTAAATGAAGGACATTGGGAATACCCAGCAATGATGCTACTGTGTCAGACTGCTTCCAGCTCAGCTCTCAGCTCTACTCGACATTTAAGTGAGAACCATCAGCCTGAGAGGAAAGAAGTGGGTTGTGCAAGGATAAATCAGTACATGATTTTCATGTAAATGTATATGTAATGTCCCTCTTGTTGGGGAGAATTATTGCCATAAGACGTGACATTCTGCTTTTTTTTGAAGAGCTACTGTTGCGCTTAATGAACATTCCAGTTGTACTGATGTTTCAGAATGGCACAAGCTTTTTCATTTTGGAAAAAAATGCACTTTTTTTATTACTGTACAAATAAACTGCAGCACTGAAAGGATCTGTGGCAGTATAAATAAATGGCATCTTACAGTCAAGTAAGACAAATACTCTTTATTTTGTTGAAACTGAATATACAATTATTTCTGTTCCCTAGGCAACCATTTAAAACTACAACTTATTTTTCACATTAACAAAACCACAGACTGAAAAAGACCAACTCTTGATTATGAAGAGCTAATTACAGAAATAAATAAAATAATTTATACAAGTCTTTAGTTTCTATAGCTTTTTCTCTTGATTCCTAGCTAACAGGCTGCTGTTCAGCCTAGTGTCTGTTTCAAACAACATAGGAATTAATTGGCTTCCTTTGCCTCAGGGCCCTATGTCCAGACTCTCACAGAGCTATTCCTCCAAGACTTTGCCACCTTCACACCATTCCCATTGATTAACTTGCTGCAGAAATCACATCTGGAGAGGTGGTTGGTAGTGTCAGGTAAACAGTGAGAGACAAACGTTCCAATCTACTCACAACAATCTCAAAGAAATTCCAAGCTTGTGGGGGGAGGCCAGTGGGTCCCAGTAGCTTCCCTTTCTCATAGCCCTTCCCTTTTTGTTCAGCTTGCTGTAGTGATGAGAGAAAAGAAAAAAAAACAAAACAGGAAAAGATTTTCCACAAATGATCTTTCTGAGCTCTGTCCATTGCCAGCAACGGACTTCTCAGGAACAAGCAGACCAGGCAAGTCCCATAGGCTTCTGCCTTCTTCCTGTGCCACAGACATACTAATGAGTCAGGTGAGATGGGAATTCACACCACTGCTTCATGATGCTGCCCATGCTCCCTGAAGTCTTTGATGGAACTCACTCCTTCCTGAAATGTAACAGTCTCTTACTCCATGTATTACAAGAGTCAGTAAGTGCAAAAATCCTCACCCATTCTTCATGAAACCTGTGCAAACTAATACTTGCTGCGGCACTAAGAGGCTACAGTCCACAATCTTTGACTTCTGTCCAGTTTTCCATGTGTGCAGTTCAGCACATCAGTAACAAGTCAGATCAGAAGTGACTGGATGGGTCTGAGCACTGTGAGCACTGCACCAGAGGCCCTTCAGAACACTGGAACACCCCAGTGAGATGTGGCACCTCAGGCCTTGGCTGGCGGCTCAGTCCTCCCTCCCAGATGAGGGAAACAGCCTGAGCAGAGAAAGTGCACCGTAGTCATTTCACACTGGAAGCTCCTGTTCAAAGAGACAGACCGTGACTGCTTTCTTTGGAAATGTGGCACAGAGTTGTAACTAATTTCACAATGCAAACATGGTCAATAGAAAATGGACACCATTGCTGCTTCTCAGTGACAGCTCACTAAGTCCTCAACATCCTTTGAATCTTCCGAGTCAGGACTGCCCAACGATGAGCCAATAATGTGTGACCCATCTCCATGATGTTGTAAGATAGGATCTGCCAAGGGACAAAAAGCATTAGAACTATTGCTGTGCCATTATAACAAAATGTAAAATACAAACTTAGGAAATGTAGCCTGGAATTCTAACCAATTACAGGCAGTGTTGCTCAAACTAGGCAGTTTGCAATTTCTAGTTTCACAGCATCCCAGAATAGCTGGGGTTGGCAGGGACCTCTGGAGATCCTCTAGTCCAACCCCTTGCTAAAGCTGGTTCAGCTGGAGCACAGGAGCACATCCAGGTGGGTATTGAGTATCTTTAGAGAAGGCAAGTGATGACCAATATGGATGCAGTGGTGTGACTCACATTTGCATCCATCGGGTATTACACTATCAGTGCTGACCCTCTGACGGCTCTACAGGGAGATCCTTCCTCTGGGGAGGAGTATTTGTTACGTTACTTGAAATTTCATAGCACTGATATGTAAAATTATTTAAGAGAAAGCAAGGATCTTTGAAGTGTTGTCTGCAGAGACTTGAAAGCTCTATACACTGCTTTAATGAAAGGGACTGTCATACCTGTGAGAGTTGTCAAGGGCAGGACTGATTCACTATCTATATCATCTGTTGCCTGGATAAAACCATGGGAAGAAGGAACAATAAGCACAGTCTCATCGTCTATTGTAGGTTGATCAACTTGTTCTTGTATTGTTGGGGAACCCAGGTCCTGCACAACACAGAACAGGCCATGAGAATGTATTCCTGGTAGCATAAACAAAAACCTGCATTGCTCAGCCATGTTCCACAGTAATACACTCTGGATTAATTTTACCTCATTAAATTAAAATGTCAGCACCTGAGATAGCTTATTTCAGCATTTACAGGGACATTTCATCTTAGTGCAGGCACCCAAAAACAAGATGAGAAGAATTCTACCTTGTTGAGCAATGGTGGAGAGGAAGAGAGACACTGCAAGGTGGTGGCAAAACATTCCCTTGCAAGTCAAATATTATGTCTATGAAGACAAATTAGGCTTTTCCACTACTTGCTGTCTAGATGTTCTGAAACTGAAGCATTACCTCCACAAACCAAACAGCTTTACCTTAAGTTTCACAATTTCTGTTGTTAAGTTTTAAGTGACACTGAACATAGAGCTCAAAAGACCCTTTTTGCTGTGCCTTGCTTGGTCTGTCACTGGCTGGAGGTTGGCTCCAGACTTTTCTTGCTGAACCTCATGATACCAGAGGATTGACAACACACTGATTCTTTCCAGGTACAAGTTGTCAATACCCTCATTCTCTTCCAGTCCTGCCACTGCTGCTGCTGCTGCCTCTTCCCTGGCTCCTGTGGTACTGGAATGGCAGCAACACATCTGGCTGACTCAGTGTCACGGCACACTTTTGGTTCCACAAATGCAATGAAGTCATCCCATGCAGTACTGCCAGCACCAGCAGAGATATTTGGATTCCAGTTTTTGTGTGGACCATGCGTAAGGTTTGGTCAAACATCAGGAATCCCTGATGTAGAATGCTAGCAACTGCTGCTGACACAATGGAAGGCACCTGAATTTATCACTGTTTTCAGAGGGAGCAGGAATTGTTTTTGAGAGGTTACAGCCCTCTATATTTAAGAAAATACTGATGTTCCTCTACCTTGTTTTTTGTAGGAAAACTTGTCTCCCTACATAACTCCACAGTGTTTTTGCAAAGGCAGCTGCCTGAAAACCCCTTCCCTGATGCTGCTGAAGAGGAGCTGACAACCTGTGCTGCAGCTCAATGAACTGCACTAAGTCCCATCCAGAAGGGCCTGACCTGCAGGAGCAGCTCTCAGCAGAGCACACAGCTCTGTCCACCAGCAGCACTGGGCTGCAAGGCTTGAAACTGGGAAGAGGAGGCGTGAAAAACTAAAGAAGCCATTGTGGCAAATGGGCACCTTTCCCAGCCAGAAATAATACAACCCTGCAGCATGACTGCCTGCCTCCCACTACCCACCCACAGTGACAATACAACCCTGGCAAGCTCATAAAAATAACACTGACTTAAAGAAAACAAAATTTAGGCATGTTTTTCTAGATACCTTTTCACTGAGAATTACTCACAGACAGTTCACTATTTCCTAGAATTTAAGTACACGTCAAACTTGAATCTGACTTGAAAAGTAAGGCAAATTAGAATTACAAATTCAGTTTGTTTTTCTGTATAGAAAAAAAAAAAGTTTAGTTTTACATTCTGCTAGTCATGAGCAATTTGTACAAAGTTAAATTAGGAACTAGGTTAATATCAAAAGTTTATTAATTCTACCTTGAGAAGCTGAAGTTATAAAATAAGAATAGAAAGCTGATGGTCTGCCTCAAATGTTGAAAATCTTATCACAAGTATGTCAACCATGACACAGAAAGAGGAAAAGAAAAGAACAATCCCCAGCTTTGGGTGTATTCAGATGCTTCTGTAGTAGCAAACTTGAGATGTACAAACATTCTCCCTTTTGTAAAAGCAAAATGGATATGCACTATTAGAAGCTTCTTCAAAGACCAAAGCATATTAATGATGGATTTTCAAGGCTGACAAAGCAGAAATGCAGCTACTGTAGAGAACAGTGTTCTAAAATACAGGAAGGGGTATTTCACTCTAACTCATCTTTTCCCAAATTCAAACCTGTGAAGGAAGAGGAATTTTCTATCCACAAAAGAGCGTTATCTTCTTTTTAGCATCTCTTTTTCTGTGACTTAGTCATTTTCATAATTCCAACAACTGAAAGATTGAGGAACTTAGTAAAACTCATTTCTGCATCTCATGTGTTGGAGATGAATAAATCTGAGGCCAGAAAGAGAAGTAGCTTAATGCTTTAAATTCCCATTTAAAAGATACTTGACTGGATGTTTAGTCAAACATAGTATGATAGTATGTTTAACGGAAGTCCTCAAAACTGGAAACTGAGGTACATCTTGAAGGATGTTATTACACTCATAAAGCAAAACCTGAACACTCTAGCTCACCTCACCTCAATCTATCTATTGATGCAGGTATGCTGGACAATTAACAGCCCAGTTTAAAGCAACAGCATCAAACAGGAATCACCTGAAGGCAACTGTTCAGTGTCACCAATGTTCCAGCTTTCCACTGTCACCATGCAGAAGTACCCTGAATACTGAAGCAACTCCACAGCTAGTGAGGTGTTCAATGCTTCAGATAAAATCAAGTATAAGCCTCAGTACCAAATTAAATGCTATTACTTTCATATTCATAACACTAACAAAGCTCAAGGATAGAGGATCTCAGCAAATACTTGTAGAATGGTGATAATCACAGAATTGTTTGTATGGGAAGGGACCTTGAAGATCACTCAAAGCCCCATCCAATCTGCCCTTGAACATTTCCAGAGATGAGGCAGCCCACAGCTTCTCTGGACAACTTGTTTGAGTGCCTCACCACTCTCACAGGAAAGAACTTTCTCCTAATACCTCATCTAAATCTACATTCTTTCAGTTTGAAGCCATTCCCCCTTGTCCTGTCACTATATGTCACAACTCTTATGAATAGTCCCTCTCCATCCTTCTCCCTTCAGCTATCAATATAAATGAAATCGCTGAGATATTTCAGATGAATAGCTTAACATAAAGGCCACACATTCAATGAAATCATTCTCCGTGCAGAAATGGGGA